CGAAAGGGAGTCTCCTTTCCTTGGAGGAGTCAGGGAACACTCTGCTCTACCAGCTTTTTTTGGAAGGCTGGATATTATCCAGGCCTGCCCGTAGTCATCCGGAGGCATAAATCCCTCCCTGTGGTGCTGTGCTTCAATGGTCATGGTCCTTGTCCACTTTCATGTTCCTCCCGTATTCCTGGTTCCTCTTTGAAGTTCGTGGTAGATAGCGGTAGAAGAAAAAGTGAAAGTCTTAAAGTCTTTGATCTTTCTTATAAGTGCATAGAAGATGATGATGTATGCTGCCTTCTCTTTTTTTCTCTGCTTTGGTTACCTAAGAAGGAAGGGCCCCCTGTACTATGATCATGTGACTTGCTTCACCTTGTCAATCACTTAGAAGATTCACCCTCCTTACCCTGCCCCCTTGTCTTGTATGCAGTAAATGTCAGCTAGCCCAGCCATTCGGGGCCACTACCAGTCTCTGCATCTTGATGGTAGTGGTCCCCTGGGCCCAGCTGCTTTCTCTTTATCTCTTTGTCTTGTGTCTTTATTTATTACAATCTCTTGTCTCTGCACACAGGGAGAACACCCGCTAAGCCCCATAGGGCTGGATCCTACAGGTCTTTTAAAAAAATCAGCTATTTTAGCTGGGTGCAATGTTGAGTGCCTGTAATCCCCAGCTACTCCAAAGGCTGAGGTGGGAGGATTGCTTGAGCCCAGAATTTTGTGACCAGCCTAGGCAATGTAGCAAGACTTCATCTCAAAAATAAATAAATAAACTGAAAAAAGAACTAGCTCTTTTATTTAATTGATTTCCAAAATTATCTTTATTATTTCATTTTCTATTATTTTCAGTTTTCCCCCTAATTTCTTAAAGTGGAAGCTAAAATAATTTAACTTATACTTTTTCTTTTCTTATATTTTTATTCCTTATATTAAGCATGTAATGCTATAATTTTCCTCTCTAAAGAAAGCACTACTTTAACTGCATTCAATGCTTTTTGATATATATTTTTATTCAGTTCAAAATATGCTTGTTTCCTTTACCATTACTACTTTGACCCATGAGTCAAAGTGTGTACTTAATTTCAAAAGAAGTGTATTACTTAATTTCAAAATATTTGCGTTTTCCACATATCTGTTATTGATTTATAATTATAAGACAACATACTGTATACAATTTCAATCTATTTAAATTTATCAATGTTTATTTTATGAACTAGCATAAAAATATTCTACACACTTAAAAGGTGCATTTAGCTATTTATGGAGTGTTCTATAAACATTAAATAGGTCAAGTTGGTTAGTAGTGTTGCTCCGGTTTTTTATGCACTTACTGATTTTTTTGTCTAGTTTTTTCATTAATTGCTGAGAGATGAATGTTAAAATCTCCACTACAATTTTCAATTTTTCTTTTCTTTTTTTTTTTAATGGAGTCTCTGTCACTGAGGCTGGACTGCAGTGCTGCGATCTCGGTTCACTGCAACCTCCACCTCCTGGGTTCAAGCAATTCTCCTGCCTCAGCCTCCTGAGTAGCTGGGATTACAGGTGCGTGCCATCATGACTGGCTGATTTTTGTATTTTTAGTACAGATGGGGTTTCACCCTGTTGGTTAGGCTAGTCTTGAACTCCTGACCTCATGATCTGCCCACCTCGGCCTCCCAAAGTGCTGGGATTATAGGTGTGAACCACCGTACAGGGCCTACAATTTCAAGTTTTTTGAATTGTCCTTTCGGTCTTTGCTTCACATTTATTGAAGCTCTGCTATTAGTTCCAAACAATTTTTTCTTTTTTTTGAGACAGAGTCTTGCTCTGTTGCCCAGGCTGGAGTGCAGTGGTGCAATCTTGGCTCACTGCAACCTCTGCCTCCCAGGTTCAAGCGATTCTTCTGCCTCAGCCTCCTGAGTAGCTGGGATTACAGGTGCGCACTATGACACCTGGCCAATTTTTGTATTTTCAGTAGAGATGGGGTTTCACCATGTTGGTCACGCTGGTCTTGAACTCCTCCTGACCTCATGATCCACTCGCCTCAGCCTCCCACAGTGGTGGGCTTACAGGTGTGAGCCACTGCGCCTGGCCAGAGTCAGACAAATTTAAGACTGTTATATCTTCTTGATGATCTAATCCAATTATTATTATAAAATGTCCCTTACTTTTTGCAACCAGCATATCTGAACAGCTACAATTTCTTATAACAAAACTATAGGAGGTGCACATGATTTTCTATAATAAACATGTAGAGCATGTACTTGGAGTACATGTAAAAGCAAACACAAAAGCAAAAAACAAAAAACATTAGAGCAAGCATTAACTTTACATTAAACAGGACATATTGTAAGAGATAAATAACTTTTTCAGGGTTAAAAATCAGGATATCACAGGTGAATTTCTTATAAACAAACTAGGCAGGACTGAATTTCATGCTGGTAGGAAGATAAGCAAGAAAGGACATTCATACCAATCTAGCTAATGTTAATTTTCTTAGTGTCGTTGAGGTAAATACTATCTAACTTTTACTTATTTTTATGACAGGACACTATGGCATGCTCAATGCTTTGTTTTCTCAAAGCTCTTATGCCAACATTTTCTTCATTCTCTCAATAGGTGGATAGCTCCTTAACATGATAAAAGATATCTACTTCGGTCCTTAAAACCAACATCACGCTTAATGGGAAAATTCTAGAGATATCTCATTAAAGATAGGAATAAGACATAAACGTCTACCGTCATTATTATTATTAAATATTTTACTGGAGATACTAGCCAAAGCAATTAGATATGAGAAAGTAGAGGTATAAAACTTGGAAAGAAGTAGGTAAAACTATCTGAATGATAAGATTGTAATCCTAGAAACTCTACGAGAATGAACTCCAAACAATAAAGCAACTTAGTAAGGCAGTGGATCACGATATTACTATGCAGGAAATGATACTTTCATGTATACATACAACCACGATGTGTAGTAACCCCATTCAGATTTGATAGTTCTAGGATCCTGCTGCTCTTGAGTGAATTTCTCAAAGTGGCCATTTAACCACTTAAAAGTACCCCTCATATGGCATTATAGTCAGTCCCTCCTCTCTCCACCTCCTACCCCTTCCCTGACTCCTTAGAAGTTGAGAAGTATCAAAACAGACCCTTTCTTTAAATATATAGAAAAAGAAGGGTAGACTGTGTATTTGATGGGTACTTCTGGCTATAAGAAACAGAATCCCTGACTTAAGGTGAGTTAATAATAACTAAAATTTATTAAGCACTCTTACAATACTTACAGTATGACCAGCACTATTTTAACCCATTTAATCTTTATGGCATCTTTATCAGAAAACAGTAAGGATCCCAGCACTCTGGGAGGCTGAGGTGGGTGGATCACTGAGGTCAGGAGTTCAAGAGAAGCCTGGCCAACATGGTGAAACCCCTTCTCAACTAAAAATACAAAAGTTAGCCAGGTTTGGTGGTGCATGCCTGTAGTTACAGCTACTTGGGAGGTTGAAGCAGGAGAATCGCTTGAACCTGGGAAGTGCACGTTGCAGTGAGCTGAGATTGTGCCACTGCACTCCAGCCTGGGAGACAGAGTGAGACTCAGTCTCAGAAAAACAAGAAACAAAAATAATAAGGAAACTTATTAGACATCCCTACAAGGCGTTCAGATACAGCGTGAGCTCCAGGTTTGGAATGATGTCACCAAGGACATCATTTTATAACTTTGTTCAGTTGTCCTCAGCATTGGTCCATCAGTTTTATTCCTCGTGATGGGCAGGATGGCTGTTAATGACAGTGTGGGATAGATGTTTCCACCTCAAGAAGACAGTATATCAGAATTCTCCCGAGCATGAAATAGTGGTCCTTTCCTTCAGTCAGATTGAGCCAACTTGGGTCATATACTCATTCCTTGATCAGCAAATATTTCCAGAAAAATTCTGTATGATGACTGGTTTAATCAGTATCATTTTGATTCTGGAATAGGGCAGCTATCTGAATGAAATAAGGATTTTAGTACAAAGGAGTTAAGAGGAAAATGAATATTGGATAGGTAACATTATTCACTATAGAGTTTTGTTTTTAATGTAAAATTTAGACGAAAACTTTAGCAGATTTAAGTCCAGTGATAGAAATGCTAAGTTCTGAGTTTTCAAGCAAATGGTCAGAAAAGCCTCTTTAATGTTTTATTACTTACAAACATATTTCTCTGTCTGGTACAGAACAGGAGCTAACTGATTTGGGGTTCATTTTCATGAATGTTGTATGAAATGCACATATACCAAACCTCATAAGCTTTTTATTAGTTGATTTATTCTTTGAAATATTAAGCTTGGTGTAAGGTATTATAATCTCAATCTCTTTCTTTGAAAATGTAAGAAGTCAATAGTCAATGTTGCATCAATGAATATTACTCAGTGGATGCCTATTTTATTTCTTCTTTTTCTCTAAGAACCACTTAAATAGTCCTTATGGTTCAAGTATCTCACAGTCTGATTAGTTTCTATTAATTCTTTGGAAAAGAAACATTCTGGGAACTCAGAATTGAACGGTAGGTTGCTTTGATAATGTTCTCATTTAGCTAGTGGATTCCAGAGTGATAGAATATATGTTTGGCAACTTAATTGTGTAGGAAGAAAAGAACTTCTGTTAGCAGTTTTTTAAAAAAGTTTAAAAATTTTTTTTACCTCACTTAAAAAAAGTTTGATGTCTTGTGAAAGTTTTATAGCATGCATAATATATTAATGCCATACATGATACATGTAAATTTTTTTTTTTTTTATGATAGGGATGTGTGATCAAGAGTTTAAGAATGCCTTAGTCCAAAGTTAATTAGTCTTGGAGTCAAGGCTTCGCAGAGGAAAGATACTGGATTTCAAGCTTGACATTAAGATGATAATAGTGGTGACTATGGAATAATCAATATAAAAATAATAATAGCTAACATTCACTGAGCGCCTACAAAGTGCCAGACACTATTCTAAGCGCTTTACATCCTCATAACAAACCTATGAGGTAAATGCTATTATTATCCACCTGACTTCTGAAATTTTCTTACCCCGGTACTCCCTGGTGTTAACTGGGCACTCAATTTGTAGAATAAAATAAAATTTAGTGCTGCCAAATTTGTCAGCTGAACGGGGCGGCATGGATTTCAGTGCTGGAGTGGGGGTCAGACGGCCCGGGGCTTTGTGTCCTTAGAGGCCAGCGGAAGCGCCGCATACCTGCGAGAAATAACGTGAGCCGGTGCTTAAATTTCCTGGGTTAGTGCTACTGGACTGAATGCATTTGCAATAACCGGACGCAGAAAAAAAAAAAAAAACCGGGGACCAGGGGAGGCGAACCCCTTCCCAGCGCGAGTCTGAACGTCTGAGAAGCAGAAGCCACAAGTCCCGGCGACCTAAGTCCTGGATCCGCCGGCCCGAACACCCGCGTTAGCATTTACAATCCGGGGTGAGCTGAAGCTTCCGGTTGCCCCGGTTCGACGCTCTAGCCCTGCGAGCTGCAGACGCCGGAAGTCTCGACTGCTCCCCGCTGGCGCGCCGGACCGCGGTCATTTACCCGTGTCCCCCCACGCCTGGAAGAACTGCTGACACTCTCCACAGCGTGGTGGTTCTGTTGCTCACAGGTTAGTCTCCTGCGGCAGTAGGAGTCTCCGTCTTCCCCCCAGCGAGAAGCGTTTGTTCCTGCAATCCGGGCGGCCGCCTTCGCGCGCGGGGTGCTGTGCTGCTTAGAGAGTTCCCTCACGGGTCACATCGCGGAGGTTCGCGCCGGCTCCGGGTCGCGACCTCCCTGCGCTGCTTCTTTGGCTGCTGGTAACCCGCGCTGGCTCCGTCCGCTCGGAGTTAGGAGACTGTGTCGAGCTAACGTTGACTTTGTCCTGCAGTTTTTGCTGGGCATCCCCAACAGCACACTGTAAAGAGTTGGGGTCCTCTCGAAGAGTTGGGACTGGGTGCTTTTGTTGGTAGTACTAAATTTCAACACCTGGGGAGTACGCTGCCCACATTATTGTAGGAAAGAATTATCTGGTTTAGTGGTTATAATACTTTTTATCCCTGCCACACTTGAATGACAGAAAAATCCTACCAACAGGAGCTGACTACAAAAGTGAGTTTCTGTGTAGGGGACATTGGATGTATGTATCAGTGCCTGTCAGTCTGTATGTGTGTTTGGGGTGGATGCTGTGTAATTTTTAAAAATCTGTGGAGATTCTGATAATTTGATTACCTGTTTCTCCAGTCTTCCCCTAATTCCTTCCCATTTTCCCCTGGGGGAAGTGGTGCCTCACTTTTGGATAGAAGTAGCAACTCTTCGCTTACACTTGCACGTTTAAAACATATCTGATTGTGTTATTTCTGTCCTCAGAATCTTCCTGGACTTCCCGTTGCCTTCAGGATAATACACATTTCTTAGCCTAACTTAAGGGGCCTTCGGGGCCTTGATTCTGCTGAATTTTTCAGTCTTTGCTACTTTCATGGAAAACACACCTGCAGGTACACTCATATTATGCTCCCACCATGCCAGTTTACAGTAATTTAATAACTTTAGATACGGCAAAGTTTCATATGGTTTACCCAAGTTTTTATTTTTGCTTTAACATTTAGCCAAAATCGATTGAATTCATAATATTACTAGGCACTGTTTTAAAAAACGGGATAAAGTGAAAACAAAACAAAACAAAACAGTCTTCAGTCCTTTAAAAAAATAAAACAACTTTCTGACACATAGTTCACCCACCATAGAATTCACCATTTAAAATGTAGCGGTGGCTCACGCCTGTAATCCCAGCACTTTGGGAGGCTGAGGTGGGCGGATCACGAGGTCAGGAGATCGAGACCATTCTGGCTAACACGGTGAAACCCCGTCTCCACTAAAAATACAAAAAATTAGCCGGGCGTGGTGGCTGGCGCCTGTAGTCTCAGCTACTCAGGAGGCTGAGGCAGGAGGATGGTATGAACCCGGGAGGCGGAGCTTGCGGTGAGCTGAGATCGCGCCGCTGCACTCCAGCCTGGGCGTCAGAGCTAGACTCCGTCTCAAAATAAAAAATAAAAAACAACCAAACCTAAAAGTAATTAGTACATTCACAAGGTTGTACAACCATCATCACAAAATATGCTGTAATCTTCTTCAACTTCATTAGTTGGTTTAATTTTATTAAGTCTATTACGGACAGACTGCAGTAAGTTATTCTTGTATTCTTTTGTTCATGTTTAATGTGCTGCATTCAGTTTGTGAGAGCCATATTGGAACAATTTTCGAACATTTTCATCACTCCAAAAAGAAACCCTGTACTTATTCAGCAGGCTCACCTGACTTCCCCATCCCCACTCCCCATTCTAAGCCCTAAGCAACTATGAATTGACTGACTGTATATTTGACTGTTCTGGATTATTCATGTGAGTGAAATCATACAGCATGTGGTCTTTTTCAGCTGGCTTCTTTTACTTAACATTCATGTTCTTCTGTGTTGTATTTAATAGCATGTGTTGAAGGGGTGGCCTGCCTCTCCACACCTGTGGGTGTTTCTCGTTAGGTTGAACGAGAGACTTGAGAAAAGAAATAAGACACAGAGACAAAGTATAGAGAAAGAAAAGCGGGGGCCCAGGGGACCGGCGCTCAGCTTACAGAGGACCCACGCCGGCACCGGCCTCTGAGTTCCCTTAATATTTATAGATAATTATCTTTACCATCTTGAAGATCAGGGAGTGGCAGGACAATAGGATCATTTTTAGGGAGGAAATTAGCAGTAAGACATAAGAACAAGGATCTCTGTGACATGAATAAGTTTAAAGGAAAATCCTGTGCCTTGAGATAAACCTTTTAGCAACATTGTTTCATCCTATCACATGGGGATAAACCTTGGACAATACCTAGCTTTTCTAGGAACAAAGACACACCCTGCACGCCCAAAATCCATTAAACCTTGAGTTACCACAGCACATGTCTCTTGCAAGGACAAGGTTGGGGGTAGGGTCACAGATTAACAGCATCTCAAATACAGAACAAAATGGAGTCTCTTATGTCTACTTCTTTCTATGTAGACACAGTAACAGGCTGATCTCTTTCTTTTCCCCACATGTGTCAGTACTTCTTTAATTGCTGGTTAATCTTTTATTTTATGGGTATTACCACGATTTATTTTCCATTAGTTAGTGGACGTTTGGATTGTTTCCACCTTTTGGCTATTATGTATAATGCTGCTGTGAACATTCACCTACAGGTTTTTGTGTGGACATACCATGTTTTCATTTCTCTTGCATATGTGCCTAGGAGTGAAATGGCTGGGTCATATGGTATCTCTGTTTAACATTTTAAGAAACGGTCAGACTGTTTTCCAAAGCATCAGTGTGCATCTTTTTAACATTCTCACCAGTAGTGTATTAGGGTTTTGATTTCTCACTCCTTGCCAACACTTGTCATTATCTGTCTTTCTGATTCTGGCCATTCTAGTGGGTGTGAAGTGTGTGTCATCGTGTTTTCATTTTTTGTTTCGTTGACATGTAGTAATTGTACATATTTAGGGACTACAGAATGTTATTTTGATAAATGTATACAATGTGTAATGATCAAATCAGGTAATTAGCATGTCCATCACCTCGAACATTCATCTTTTCTTTGTGTTGCAACCATTAAAAATCTCCTAACTTTTTGAAAATATTGTGGTTTCAAATCGCGTTTCCCTGATGGCTAATGATGTTGAGCATCTTTTCAAGTGCTTATTGCCCATTTATGTATCTTCTTTGGAGAAATGTCTGCTCAGATCCTTTGCCCATTTTTAAATTAGGTTCTTTTTTGTAATTGAGTTGCAGGAGTTCTTTATATATTCTAGATACAAGTCATTTATCAGATATGTGACAGTCTTTTAGATTATGCTACCGTTCTTTTAGATGAGAAGCACATGAGATTAACTTTTAGTAGCCTTGGAGACCTCCTTGTGGGTGTGTGATTGTAGTTTAGAGAGTGATGGTTTTCCGACAGCTACATGGGAGGCCAGGCCCAGGAAAAATGCTGTGAAAGAACCTGTGAGGAGCGTTTTAAGACTTGAAAAATGAAGCAAGGGGAAACTTTGTAATTTGCCATTCCGTATTGAGTTTTATCTGTCTTTATTGATTTTTAGGAGTTTCTTCGTGCAGGAATATTAAGCCATTGACTGTTAGGTATGTGGCAGATATCTTCAATCTATTTAGTTAACTTTGTTTTATCTTTTTTACTATACTGTTGTTTTACATTTTTGTGTAGTCAGGACTTTTCCTCTAAAAGCCTTCTGGCCAGTAGTTTAGAATATTGTTCTTTAATTATAGGAGTTAGAGAAACTGACATAGTACTTCCCAGTTAGTGTGACATCTGAGTCCCTGGTGTTATGTTTAGCCTAATAGTGTTCATTGTTTCAGACATTGGTGCCTCCCTGTCTCTCTGCCTCGAAAAATATGCCATGATCTGCTTCAACTTTGTTCATTTAACTCTCTACTTTAAACAGACTCTAAGAAGTTATTCTTTTATTCTCTTGTTCATGTTTCATATACTGCATTAGATTTGTGAGAGCCATATTGGACAGTTGGTCACCAAATATTAGGTACTTTTTTCATACTAGCAGGTATTTATTTGAAGATTTAATGTATGCAGAGGTTGAGTGTAACTATTGTGTTCTGTATTGTTTGGGGCGTGTTGGAAAAATTAGTTTTATAAAATCCTGTTAACATTGTAATTTTTTAAAAATTTTATTGGTTAAAAGGCAGTAGTAGTTATATACATATGTGTGTGTGTGTGTGTGTATATATATATATATATTTTTTTTTTTTTTTTTGAGACGGAGTTTCGCTTTGGTACCCAGACTGGAGTGCAATGGTGTGATCTCAGCTTACTGCAACCTCTGCCTCCTGGGTTCAAGTGATTCTCCTGCCCCAGCCTCCTGAGTAGCTGGGATTACAGGAGGCTGCCACCACTCCCAGCTAATTTTTGTGTTTTTAGTAGAGACGGGGTTTCACCATGTTGACTAGGTTGGTCTGGAACTACTGACCTCACCGCCTTGGCCTCCCAAAGTGTTGGGATTATAGGTGTGAGCCACTGCGCCCAGCCAGTAGTAAAAGTATTTTTAGAAACTGAGCATTTTGACAATCTAAGGGAAGTGATGTACAATAGCTTCCAGAAAAAAATTGCATCTCTCTGTTTACATATAATGGCCAAAATTTCATTCTTTCACCATGGCTTGATTCCAGTTAGAACTCTGTGCTTCTTGTTTCAGTGTTTTGTCTTTTCTTTTTAAAAATTGTGATAGAATATACGTAACATAAAATTGACCATTTTAACTATTTGTAAAGGTACAGTTCAGTGCCATTAAGTACTTTCTCATTGTTGTGTAACCATAACCACCATCTACCTCCAGAACACATTTTTCTTTGTTGCTCTGGCTGGAGTGCAATGACGTGATCTCGGCTCGCCGCAACCTCCACCTCCCGGGTTCAAGTGATTCTCCTGCCTCAGCCTCCCGAATAGCTGGGATTACAGGCATGCACCACCATGCCCAGCTAATTTTGTATTTTTAGTACAGACGGGGTTTCTCCATGTTGGTCATGCTGGTCTTGAACTCCTGACCTCAGGTGGTCTGCCCACCTCAGCCTCCCAAAGTGC